GTCTCTAGGAGTTCTTTAGAGTTCTCTAAAAACTTCTTAAAAACTTGGAAACCAGTCATCAAATTACTTATTCATAAGGTTTATTAATCCATAAACTCTTCAGTTCAAAAGCAAAAAGATTTTTCTAAAGAACTGCAAAAAGACCTTCAGAAATATGAAATTAGAAAAGTTCTAAAACCATTCTTTTTTATCTAAAATGCCTGAAATTCTTAAGAAATCGCTCGAAGAGTTTTTTCTGACTTAAGAGTTTGCCATAAGATCTCAGAGACTTCTCGAACAGTCTCAGGTATAAATGATTATTCTAGAAAATTTTTGATAGCGATAAAATGTCGACAAAAACAATTCTCTATATTTTCTGAAAATCTTAATAGTCTTAGTAGGAAATAATAGTTTTATGATTGTTCGATAAATATCGAAACATGCGGTGATGTGCAATGCAGTAGTCGATTATCTTTCAGTACATTTATGATCAAAAATCATATTATAATTTTTTTACGAAAAAATTTATTGCGTGCAGAACAACTCATTAGCAGTAATTCGTATAAGTACTCACTTGGGGAACTCACTACATGTAAAACTACTTCGATAAACCTCTTATGAAGAAGTTTCTGCAAAAACAACAATAGAGTTTTGCAGACCTTGGTAAGAGCTTTTCACTAATGAATTGTTCTCAACAAGCTATTCAGTTGTAAATAAAAGGATAAACTACCGGAGAGAACATTCGTTATTTTAGCTAATTATTAGTTAACATCTCAAAATGAAACATATAACTTTTTTGCATGGCCGAACTATAACTATAGATTTTTATTTTCTATCAAACTATGCAAGAGTGAAATGTCTATAATCGTCGTTGAGTGCATTTGACAGTTTTGACAAAGAAGTTCAGCACTTGAACTTTTAATTAAAATTTTAAATAAAACACTTGTCCGTTCGCCAAGACAATTTCAGAGTGTATACAGCTCAGTGTTCTTTATAAAATGGCAACCTTTGAGAATAAATATAAGGGATGTTGATTCTCCTCTCTAATTTTTTTAAAGTGAATAATTTATGAGTTTCATTCTGATCTACAATGTCGATAACTTCTAAACCAATGCTTCAGGATTAACTGTCTATTGATTATGAAGAACCATTTAGAATGATATGTACTAATGAAATGGACTTAATGAGGTGAACCTTGCGAAACAAGGATAGTTCTTTTTTGGAGATTAAAAGCCGCAGAAACATGAAAAAGTACAATTATTGAAGTCAATAGATATAAAACCAGCAGATGAAACTTACGTTAGAAGACTTCACTCGCACCAAAAGAAAACTTCTAATGAAATTTTCGTTGCTACAAAAAAACCAATTTCAGGATGCTAAATATAATATTTGAAATTGTTTTGACTGATGCTCTTGAATACATTACTAGTCTTACTTGCAAATATATGTTAAATGAAAAGATGCAGGATTCGTGCGATATATGAAGGCTAAAGATGGGGAAAGCAACAAATACAAACATACAACTTTACCTAAGTTAACATTGTCAGGTAATGTAAATTTTATATCAAATGCACCATAATTATTCAATTCAACTTTTGGCTGTTGAAGTTGTTGACCATGAGGATCATAAATTGTATAATCAATTGTACCATGAGCATAAGTTGGTAATTTTGCTTCACCTTTTACTTTCAGTAATCGAACATAACCTTTTATATGCACTTCTTCCTTTGGTTTATACAAACCTCGATCATTGAATACATGCCAGACATAAGCATTAAGCTCTGATGCATAAGTCTCAATATCTACTGACATACATAGATCATCATCTTTTTCTACGACTAATATTCTATTTTCTCTGTTTTCTACTTCTTTTCTTTCATCGTTCTCTGTCGTGTACTTTTCAATGATATATAGTCCTTATTGATTTGTTTCGTTTTTTTTATTCGATATTGAAACAGTTGCTTGATTGATGGGTGCACCAGTCATTAATTTAGTAACCCATGCAGTCAAAATGTTGCTCGTGCCTATAATAAAAAAAAAAGTGTAACCAGTACAATTGTTCTTCGATAACAAAACAACAGGATTTCGACAACTTCAACATACTTCTCGCTGCACTATTGAAGACAGGCAAACTCAAAAAAATGAGAAAAGAGTTACAATAGAGTGTGCGTGTGGATGCGTGGCTCTAGATTTAATCCTTTCACTGATCGACACCCACACACTTATAAGGCTAGGTTTAAATCTTATTGCTTTTTTTTGTGAGATTTCAACATTGTATTTCTATATAATATTTAACATCTTAGCTCAGTCTCATTGTTACTCTTACATTAACATATTCAGTAAAATGATTTTAATCATGAGAATAGATATATGCTACTGATTACGAAAATTCTAAGATATTTTAACTGAAAAGTAATAACTATTTCTTTCTTGTAGTTTTTTTACTTTATTATTTGCTTTTTAAGAAATTTTCTGGATAATTTTCAGCATAATTAAATGTCTAGTAATATCTACTCAACCTTAAGTTATATTTATTGGTTGGGACGAATTCAATAGTATGAATTGAAAACAAATTGTCTAATTTCTTCTTAATTTATAAGTACCTGAAGAAACAAATACATCGACTGCTAATCGTGTACATTGTAGCCAGACTGATATAATTTGTCTATATTGCCAATTGTTGTCTTGACATTCATTCAATGCTTTTTTTGTTGGTTCAATCAATACAATTAATTGACCTACTCCAGAGTTTTTCGTTAAATATGCTTTCAAGGGAACTCTTATTTCTTTCGGTTCATCACGTTCACAGTTTGTTTGTACAACTTCATTTAGCAACTCTTCACCAGGCAATTTATTATACCATTCTCCCCCTTCATAGGTGTAAGAGTATGAATTAAAACATGGTAAATTTGGATGATAATGTTCTGGTTTCACTCGATGAATACGAAGCGTTACTTCTGAATAATTATAAACCATAAATGGATAAAATGGTTCATTTAATACACCAGGATCCATTGTAATCATACCTAAAACAAACTTCTCTTTGTTTATTTATAATCAATGTTTCTTGCTGTAAGAGAAGAATTGGTATTTTATAATAGACAACAACCATATTTTAGAAGTTTTCTTTTTTCAAAATTCTATTTTTGTATTAGTTTTTTGTACTATACCTGTTGCACCCGATATATTTCCAATTAATGGTGGCGAGTTATGTACGTGAAATTGAATTGGTTTATCAGAATGATCATGTTCTAATGTTTGACCATGAACATCTTTCAATGATGCTGATTGTATAAGTAGTGTATAAACAGTGTTTGATTTGGAATTATTATAAAATGTTATTTGTCGATCATTGTCTTGTGTAAGCTCAATATCTAAAGTAAATTTTTCTTTAATGTTGTTTTTTCTCTATCGATTAAAAGCACACATCTTATATTGTTAACATTTTTTTAGTGAACTGCCAAATGAACAGTAATAGAAATCAATGATCGCATTTTCTAGATAAGTTCGTAAAACTTATCCAGAAAACGTCGTCATCTTTGTTTACAATTACACTTTTCTCATTAACACCCAGACATAAGAGAATATGCCATGAAACAAGTTTCGTCTACAATTACCTAAACTATTGACTTCTGGTTCGAATTTGAATAATGATTTATTAATTGTTGAATGATCTAATGAATTATTGAATGTTAGTGACCAACTATAACCAGGAGCAGCAGATGGTTGCCACTCATTCTTTTTATTTGGAAATCAATCAATTATTTTTAAAGGTTCATAGGTATGAAAACTAACCGACCATTCTGATGTTGTCTCTAATGGACCTTCAGCTGATGGGCAGCCTACAGGTACTTGAATTGTATATTGTGTTGCTTTTAATAAATCATGTTTAAATGTAAACGCAACATATTTTTCATGATTTCCTTCATTAGCATCAGAGATGGGACCGGTTCGGTTTTTAACCGAACCGAACCGACCGACCGTAACTGAAATCGGTTCGATTCGAGATTTTTAAAAAATTCGGTCGGTTACGTTTGGTTCGGTTAGAAAGAATCGACATAATCTTTTGATTTGAGTTCGATGAACTTTTTGAGACATAAAAAGAAAAAAGAGTGTAATCGTACAACAATTAGCTGTTGTTCGTAACTCGTATTATCTCACATGTTTTTTAAATTTGTTGTGAGAGGTAAGAAAGTTATAATACAGTAAGAGGATTCAATAAATAATCGTCCTTCGTTCCTTTCTCTAGATGTTGATTGCTCATAGTTGCTACTGTTCGATTTGTTGTTGGGAAAGAAATGATGATTATCTTGATCAACATACACTTGCAGATTTAATGAAACTATAGATACGCAATAGTAGATATTGTGATCATCGAAAAAACGTTTTTTTTTTCATTCTTTTGACTAACTAGGTGCAACTCCATTACTGA